CCTGGCTGATTTTGTACTTTTAGTAGAGACACGGTTTCTCCATGTTGGTCAGGGTGATCTCAAACTCCTGACCTCAGGTGATCCGCCTGCCTTGGCCTCCCAAGGTGCTGGGATTACAGGTGTGAGCCACCAGGCCTGGCCTAAAAGGCTTTATTTTGGGTTCTATGCTCACTCCAAACCTCAGCATCATGCAACATACCCTTGTAACAAACCTGAACATGTACCCCAGGAATCTGAAATTTAGATTTAAACTTAAAATAATGGGGAAAGGATCTGAAAAGACATTTCTTCAGAGAAGATATGAGAATGTCTAGTCAGTACATGAAAAGACGCTTAATGTCACTAGTCATTCGGGAGACGCAGCTCAAAACCACAAGCCATAGCAAGGCACCACTTGTTATGGTTTAGACGTGTCCCCCAAAGTAGGTGTGCTGGAAACCTTCCCCAGGGCAACAGTATTCAGAGGTGTGACCCCAAAGAAGTGACTAATAAGGGCTCCCTCTCCCCTCTGTCTCTCTCTCCTCTCTCACACGTACACACTCTCTTGCCCTTCTGCCTTCCGCCATGGGATGACACAGCACAATGGCCCTCGCCAGAAACCAACCACTGCATCTCGGACTTTCCAGCCTCTAGAAGTGTAAAAAAATACATCTCTGTTCTTCATAAATTACTCAGCCTTGGGTCTTCTGTTACAGCAGCACAAAATGAATGAAGACACTACTTCACACCCACTAGGATGTCTAGAATCAAAGACAGACAACAACAAGTGCTGACGGGGATGTGGAGAAATTAGAACCCTCATACACTGCTGGTGGGAATGTAAAATGATATAGTGACTATGGAAAACCAGTCTGGCAGTTCCCCAAAAACTTAAACATAGAATTACCACATGATCTAGCAATCTCACTTCTGGATACATACCCAAAATGGAAAGCAGGGTCTTGAACAGACATTTGCACACCCGTGTTCAAGGCAGCATTGCTCACAATCCCCCAAAGGTAGAAGCAACACAAGTGTTCCCTGATTGTCAGTGGAGGGATAAACAGAATATGGTGTGCATGTTACCGGATGGTGCCGTGCAGTTCCAGGCTCTTGGTGTCCTGAACAAAGAATTGGACGTGACACACACAAATAGCAAACAGCAAAGGTTTATTCAGCACAGTATGACACTCTCAATGAGGGGAGCGTGGGTTGACCTCTGCGAAATGAGATCAGCACCAGTTTGGTGTATTTTGCGCTTTCTTTTATATGGTTTTTTTTTTTTTTCTTCTCTTCCCAAGGCTGCCTAATCTCTAGCCAGCGCCTGCCTTTTGATTGATACGGAGGTTGCTTACTTTGGCTCTTGTGTGCTTGCATGTTGCCTCCATCCCATAATTTTAAATACATGCATGAAAAGAAGTCCATATGTATGAGTTCCAATGAGCTGATTATCATACGGGGTTATATTAAGGATACTTTTTCTCTCTAATGCATATGCCCATCTCTGAGGGGCTCCCGTGACAGGTTTGGTCCAGATGTAGCCAGCTATGGAGGCTTCTTGCTTTTTTTTTTTTTTTTTTTTGAGACGGAGTCTTGGTCTGTGGCCCAGGCTGGGGTGCAGTGGCGCGATCTCGGCTCATTGCAAGCTCCGCCTCCCGGGTTTATGCCATTCTCCTGGCTCAGCCTCCCGAGTAGCTGGGATTACAGGCGCCGCAACCTCCCCCGGCTAGTTTTTTGTATTTTTAGTAGAGACGGGGTTTCACCGTGTTAGCCAGGATGGTCTCAATCTCCTGACCTCGTGATCCGCCCGTCTCGGCCTCCCAGAGTGCTGGGATTACAGGCTTGAGCCACCGCGCCCGGCCAACTTCTTGCTTTTTTAATCTCACTCTTGTTTTGGTTGCTCAGCTTCTGCTTATCTTGCTTCTCACTCACTCGCGCCTTACCTTGCATCTGTGTCTACTCACCCCACCCTGTGTTCGACCTCCAATTCCCTGTGCTATTTTCCTGCCTCATATGCACACAATGATATATTATTATTTATTTATTTATTTATTTTTATTTTATTTATTTATTTATTTATTTATTTATTTTTTTGAGACGGAGTCTTGCTGTGTCACCCAGGCTGGAGTGCAATGGCCAGATCTCGGCTCACTGCAAGCTCCGCCTCCCGGGTTCACGCCATTCTCCTGCCTCAGCCTCCCGAGTAGCTGGGACTACAGGCACCCGCCACCTCGCCCGGCTAGTTTTTTTTTGTATTTTTTAGTAGAGACGGGGTTTCACCGTGTTAGCCAGGATGGTCTCGATCTCCTGACCTCGTGATCCGCCCGTTTCGGCCTCCCAAAGTGCTGGGATTACAGGCTTGAGCCACCGCACCCGGCCTATTTATTTATTTTTGAGACGGAGTCTCGCTCTGTCACCCAGGCTGGAGTGCAGTGGCCGAATATCAGCTCACTGCAAGCTCCGCCTCCCGGGTTCACGCCATTCTCCTGCTCAGCCTCCGGAGTAGCTGGTACTACAGGCACCGCCACCACCACGTCCGGCTAATTTTTTGTATTTTTAGTAGAGACAGGGTTTCACCATGTTAGCCAGGATGGTTTCGATCTCCTGACCTCGTGATCTGCCCGCCTTGGCCTCCCAAAGTGCTGGGATTACAGGCGTGAGCCACTGCGATCAGCCCACAGTGACATATTATTAAGCCTTCAAACGGAAGGAAATTCTGGTACATGTTATGACATGGTTTAACCTTGAAGACATTATGTTGAGTAAAATATGTCAGTTATGAAAGGACAAATATTGTCTGATTCCACTTATATGATGTCCCTAAAGTCAAAATCAGAGACTAGCCTGTGCAACATAGTGAGACCCCGTCTCTACCAACAACAACAACAACAACAAATTACAGCCTGTCGCTCTAGCTACTTAGGAGGCAGAGGCTGGAGGACTGCTTGAGCCCAGGAGTTCAAAGATGCAGTGAATTATAATCACACCACTGCAGTCCAGCCTGGGTGACAGAGCAAGACCCTGTCTCTAAAACAAAAACAAAAAACACAGGAAGTAGAATGCCGGCTGCCAGCCTAGGTATGGGGGTAGGGTGGGGAGTTGGTGTTTAATGGGGCATTCACCGAACTTCAGTTTGGGAAAATGAAAACTACCTGGAGATGGTGATGGTGATGTTGCACAGCAATGTGAATGTACCTAATGCCACAAAACCACAGACTGAAAATAGTTAAAATGGTAAATTTCACATTGTGTATATTTAACCACAATAATTGTTTTTTGAAGTACATCTTCCCAGCTTCAATTCCTAGGCTAAGGCTGGGCACGGTGGCTCACGTCTGTAATCCCAGCACTTTGGGGGCTGGGACAGGAAGATCGCTGGAGCCCAGGAGTGCAGAGGCTGTAGTGAGCCGTGATCTTCCCACTGCACTCCAGCTGGTACTCCAGGCCTTGTCTCATAAATAAATAATCAAAGACCCTAGGCTAAGAATTCCAGGTCCTGGAAAACCCTTGATTTTCTTTCCCTCTCCCATTGTATTTTTTAGCATACGTTTGATCTTTCTCAACCAAGATCTCTTTGGTCCAATGGAAACCTACTCGGAAGCTCTGATAACCCTGAGATCCCAACCTCTGCTGGAGAAACAAGACCTGCCATTCCACACCTAGCACCTGGCTGTTTTTTCATCTACTATACCTGGTTAGGGATCAAATTATTAGTCCTGTCTGTGTGGAAGACAAACCCATTGATATGGAAGTGAGAATCAAGAAACTCAGTTTGTGCCAGCCACGGTGGCTCATGCCTGTAATCCCAGTACTTTGGGAGGCTGAGGCAAGTGGACTGCTTGACCTCAGGAGTTCAAGGGCAGCCTGGGCAACATGGTGAAACCCTGTCTCTAAATAAAAAAAATTAACTGGGCATGGTTGCAGCCTTCGGAGCTGAGGTATGAGAATCTCTTGAACCTGGAAGGCGCAGGTTGCCGTGAGCTGAGATTGCACCACTGCACTCTAGCCTGGAAGACAAAGCAAGAGAAAGAAACGAAAAGAAAAGAGAGAGAAGAAAGAAGAAAGAGAAAGAAAGAAGGAAGGAAGGAAGGAAGGAAGGAGAAAGAAAGAAAGGAAGAAAGAAAGAAAGAAAGAAAGAAAGAAAGAAAGAAAGAAAGAAAGAAAGAAAGAAAAGGAAAGAAAGAAAGAAGGAAGGGAAAAAGGAAGGAAGGAAGGGAAAAAGGAAGGAAGGAGAGAAAGAAAGAGAAAGAAGAAAGGAAGGGAAAAAGAAAGAAGGAAAGGAAAGAAAGAAAGAAAGAAAGAGAAAAACTAACTCAGTTTGTTACGAATATTAAATTTCAGGAACTAGGCTTAAGGGAAAAAATCCTGCAGTACGACAGATTGAGTTTGTTGGATTGCAATCTTTGTTTTCATTGCATAGAATACAAGTTTAATAAAAACAAAAGTAAAATATATTTGTAAGACATTGTCCATCAATATTTAGACAGTTGTCCTGTGTTTAAGAATGATTTTTTTTTTGAGATGGAGTCTTGCTCTGTTGCCCAGGCTGGAGTATAGTGGTACAATCTTGGCTCACTACAACCTCTGCCTCCCAGGTTCAAGCTATCCTCCTGCCTTTGCTTCCCGAGTAGCTGGGACTACAGACACCCACCACCATGCCTGGCTAATTTTTGTAGTTTTAGTAGAGACAGGGTTTTGCCACGCTACCAGGCTGGTCTCGAACTCCCGACCTCAAGTGATCCACCTGCCTCGGTCTCTCAGAGTGCTGGGATTACAGGAATGAGCCACCGTGCCTGGCCCCCGCTATGTTTAAGAATGATTTCTATCTAAAAAAGACTTATTTGAAGAGTCTTCCTTTCACACTTTGATGATGATTAATAAATATCAAGAATACAAGTATATATTACCAAGTTTATTTTCTAGCTTTCTCAATTTCTCTAAACCCTCTAATTCTGTTGATGGAATAATCTCAATTCTCACTTTTGAAAATTACGAATCAATCTTGTCTATCCCTTATTTAGAAGCTGGAGACCAACCCTAACAATAAGGTGGCCAGGCCAGTGAGACAGCTCCCATCTGCAGCTGGAGGCACTGAAGCCAGAGGACCACGCCTGCTCTGCTCAAACTCTGCAATGCCGATGTGGACGGCGGGTCTTCAAAGTGGTCTCCTCTGCCTTAGGAACACAGCAAGAAAATGACGTGCATTCTTGATTTCACAGCTACTGGAGGAGTCATCGGCCAGATCGGCCGAGCAGTTGTTTCTTTTTGACCCGATAAAATTATTTTTAGAATAGCTCTCTGTTTTCCTGCTCATGTTTGGCTTAGGATAAATATAGAAATTGTGCCTTCCTCAGCGTATGCCACCTGGGTGGCGCATGAACTGACAAAAGAGAAACTGCTGAGCACTAGCCCAGGATGAATAATTGACCACAGGAATCTAAATATTCAAGAATATTAATGTGTATTCTGAAGTTATAGAAATTAGCCAGTGTTTCCCTGGTGTGAGGACAGACAATTGGGAAGAAAACAGTCTGGGTAAGACTGAAATAGCTGATTACGAGAGCAAAGATGCCGACCACAAGAGCAGAATGTAGATATGAAACAAAGCTTTAAATTGGAAAACCAGTTTTATTTTGGATAGTTGAAAACATCCCAGTTCAACCAAGTGTAGGATGCAGCTGTCTTTTATGAAGCATGAGTGCCCATGGAGGTGCCCAGATGCCCCTCGAATCCAGTGTGAATGGCCTTGTTACTAAGGCCTTAAATCTAAGATGCTGCTGATTTTAGGGTGCACTGTTATTTCCAAGAAAGGGAGAAATGCTGCCAATTAAACTGTTCAGTTTTTATTTTGTACTCGTTAAAAGAGCTCTTTTATAGTTATTGATGCTGGTTGATGGACACATGCATTTCATTGTGTTACTCTCTTTTGTGTTTCAAAAGTTTTATTTAAAAATTATATAAAAGGAGTTCTTTTGGGTATAGAGTTGGGTATAAGATCTGAGTAGAGACTGTTGCCCCTTTCTTTTTTTGAGACAGGGTCTTGCTTTGCTGCCCAGGCTGGAGTGTGATGGCACAATCACGACTCACTGCAGCCTTGACCTCCTGGGCTGAGGTGATCCTCCCACCTCAGACCCCTGAGTAGCTGGGACTACAGATGCACACCACTGTACCCCATTAATTTTTGTATTTTTAGTAGAGATGGGGTCTCACTATGTTGACCGGGCTGGTCTTGAATTCCTAGGCTCAAGAGATCCACCCACCTGAGCCTCCCAAAGTCTTGGGATTATAGGCGTGAGCCATTGTACCTGGCCTGCTCTGTTTTATTTATTCTAAAATAATTGCAATATTTTCATAAGTTTAATTTTCCTTGTTAATGCAATATCAACCATTTTCTAATCCCATTATTTACTATGCAATTCTGGTCCTGTTTGAGTAAATGGTCTTTCCAAGAAGTCATGATTGTGGGTAATGAGGACCTCCTGTACTGTGTAGCTTTTGTGGGTGTGTGAATTTTAAAATAGTGGCTCTCAAATATGGCTACACATCAGAACTTCTGGGGAAGGCTTAAAAGGCCTCCCTGACTGGCACAGTCCCCTTTATCAGTGCTCTGCGGGTGGGCCTGGGCACTTCACCATTTGTGGTTTTAAGGCTGCCCAGAGGTTTCAGTGTGTGACCAAGTGGCTTAAGCTGTGGGATATAGCTTTACACCCGTGGTAGGGAGGGCAGCACAATGGAGGTATTTTACACCAGAAAAGTCCCGGCTCCTCCCACTGTCCTTTGTGGCATTGCTGTCATTCACGTCCACAAGCTGTAATCACCCAGTACATTGTTACTTTATGACTTTAAACGGTTGTCTTTAGATCAATTAAGAATAACGAGGTGATTCACGCCTGTAATCCCAGCACTCTGGGAGACTGAGACGGGTGGATTACCTGAGGTCAGGAGTTCGAGAGCAGCCTGGTCAACAAAACCCCGTCTCTACTAAAAATACAAAAAATAAGCTGGGTGTGGTGGCAAGCGCTTGTAATCCCAGCTACTCAGGAAGCTGAGGCAGAATTGCTTGAACCCGGGAGGCGGAGGTTGCAGTGAGCCGAGATCGCGCCATTGCACTCCAGCCTGGGCAACAAGAGCAAAACTCTGTCTCAAATAATAATAATAATAATAAGGAAAACAAGAGACATTAATTCTCATTTATTCTGCCTCTGATGCTTTTCCTTTCCTGATGTAGATCTAAGCTTCTGACCTGTATCATCTTCCTTGTCTCTTCTCTAACATTTCTCACAGGGCAGGTCTACTGGCAATACATTCCTTCAGTTTTTGTTTTTCTGAGAAAGTATTTATTTTTCCTGCACCTTAAGGATACTTTTGCTATATAGAATTCTAGGTGGGCAGATTTTTTTTTTTTTCAATTGCAACACTTTAAAGATTTCACCCCACCCTTTTCTTATCTGCATGATTTCTAACAAGAAGTCTACTGTCATTTTTATTCATATTCCTCTTGTTAACTTAAAAAATCACACAACACTGCATTTAGAAAAGGAGACTATTTCTTTTTTTTTTTTTTTTTTTTTTTTTTTTTTGAGACGGAGTCTGGCTCTGTCGCCCAGGCTGGAGTGCAGTGGCTGGATCTCAGCTCACTGCAAGCTCCGCCTCCCGGGTTTGCGCCATTCTCCTGCCTCAGCCTCCCGAGTAGCTGGGACTACAGGCGCCCGCCACCTCGCCCGGCTAGTTTTTTGTATTTTTTTAGTAGAGACGGGGTTTCTCCGTGTTAGCCAGGATGGTCTCGATCTCCTGACCTCGTGATCCGCCCGTCTCGGCCTCCCAAAGTGCTGGGATTACAGGCTTGAGCCACCGCGCCCGGCCTAGGAGACTATTTCTTAAACAACTTGCAAGGTGGACATCCCACAAGACCAGACACAGGCCCTTCAGAGGAGAGGATGGGGCAGGAGTTTTATGCTGACTGGGTTGGCTAAACATACTTATTCAACAGGTTACAGGAGGAGCTATGAATATTCATGAAGGCAGTTCTGCCGTATGTATCATATAACACATGTTCACTTTGTGGTGGAGATGTAACATTTAAATGTATTATAGTTAGGCCCTATACATCAAAAGGTCTTTCTAAGACCCAAAGGCACTTGGTGCACAGACTTTGTAAACCAGCCAGGACCAGCTATGGTCAATGGTCTCTTACCAGGAGAGTTACTGAAATCTGTCTCTTGTCTAGTCAGAGGTATAGCTGTGGCTGGTGGATGGGGGTTCAGTCAGGCAGGTTTATTCAGTTTGAATGTGACAAGCCTAGGTGTGGTTTTTGTTTTTGTTTCGCTTTATGTTTTTCGTTATTTGTTCTGATGGATGTTCTGTATGTTTCCCAGATGTATGGTTTGGTGTCTGTCATTAATTTGGGGACATTCACACCATTCCACCATTTCTCCTGCCCCTTCTTCTCTTTCCTCCTTCTGATTCTCCCATTGTGCCAGTCATATCCTTTGATGTTGTTCTTGGATGGTGTCTTCTGTTGGTGTATTAGGCTGTTCTTGCATTGCTATAAAGAAATACCTGAGACAGAATAATTTATAAAGAGATTTGATTGGCTCACAGTTCTTGCAGGCCATACCAGCATGGCACCAGCAACTGCTCAGCTTCTTGGAGGCATCAGGGAACTTTTACTCATGGCGGAAGGCAAAGTGGGAGCAGGCATTTCACAGGGTGAAAGCAGGAGCAAGAGAGAGAGTGGGGGGTGGGTAGGTGCCACACACTTGAAAAAAAAACAGGGTGGGCACGGTGGCTCATGCCTATAATTGCAGCACTTTGGGAGGCCGAGGTGGGTGGATCATGAGGTAAGGAGTTTGAGACCAGCCTGGTCAACATGGTGAAACCCCATCTCTACTAAAAATACAATAAATTAGCTGGGCATAGTGGCGCACGCCTGTAATCCCAGCTACTTGGGAGACTGAGGCACAAGAATCACTTAAACCCAGGAGGCGGAGGTTGCAGTAAGATGAGACTATACCACTGCACTCCAGTTGGGGTAATAGAACGAGACTCCATCTCAAAACAAAAACAAAAACAAAAAACACTTCTCACATGAACTCAGAGTGAGAGCTTACTCATCACCAAGAGACTGAAGGGATGGCACAAGCCATTCATGAGGGACCCGCCCCCATGATGCAAACACCCCCTGCCAAGCCCCACCTCCAAAACTGATGATTATAACTCAACATGAGATTGGTGGGGACACACGCTCAAACTAGATCAGATGATTTTTTTTTCCATCCCCTTTTCTCCTTGCATTTCAGTTTGGGAAGCTTCTGTTGATTTATCTTCATATTCACTGATTCTTTCCTTTATTCTATCTAGTCAATTAATGAGCATTCTTTATTTCTATTAGTGTGTTTTTGACTTCTAGCATGTTTTTTTGATTATTATTGTTTCCATCTCTCTGCTGACATTACCTATCTAGTCTTGCACGTTGTCTAATCTTTCCGCTAAAGCCAGTCTATCCAGGAGTTTCTGCTTTGGGTGAGCAGCTCTCAGGTGCTGTGTCTCCCTGGATGTGCCTGTCTCTTCAGAGCAGGGTGCCAGTTTGTCTGGGAGCCTCAGTTCTCTGATGGGCCCATGAAAGGCTGCTGGTTTGCCACGCGCCCTGCTATTCTTTGCTGTAAGCATGGAAGTGGTGACTGCCAAGCACGTCACATGACACCAGTTGAAGTTGTGGAACTTCAGAGCCAGGCTCCTAAAGCGTGACTTCCAATCCACCTTCTGTACAGGTTTCCTTAAAAAAATGGGGTGCGCGACCGGCACGGTGGCTCACTCCTGTAATTCCAGCACTTTGGGAGGCCTAGGTGAGAGGATGATTTGAAATCAGGAGTTCAAAGACCAACCTGGCCAACATAGTGAGACCCTGTCTCTATTAAATAAATAAATGAAATAAAAATAAATAGGCTGAGTGAGACACAGGGGCTCCAGTCTTCCTCTGATGTCCCAGCTCTCAGAACAAGGTTGCTTTGCTTGCTTTTCCTTTTATAAGCACCATGTGTTAGGCAACTGCTTAGGTGGTTCCCTGAGGTATTCATGCTCCTACGTGACACCCTCCTCTGCATGGGGCCAACCCAGTGACTGTTTCTCATGAGCTGAGCCTGGAAAGCATGAGGCACAGCTCTGATCTTGTCAGTCTCTCATTGGCTCCTGCAACAAATGACCACAAGCTAAGTGGCTTTTACAACAGCGGAAGTTTATTCCTTCACAGCTCTGGAAGCCAGAAGTCCAAAATCACTTTTAATGGGCTGAAATCAAGGCATTGGCAGGTCCAGGCTCCCTTGCATGGCTCCTGGAGAGAATCTGTTCCTTGTTTCTGGCGCCTCTGGTGGCTCCGGCGTTACTTGGCTTGTGATTGCATCACGTCCACTTTCAGGGCCCCATCTTCATCTCTGCTCCATCTTCCCATGGCCCTCTCTTCTGTGTGGCACCACATTTCCTTCTGCCTCCCTCTTACAAAGATGCACGTGGCCAGGCATGCTGGCTCATGCCTGTCATCCCAGCACTTTGAGAGGCCAAGGCAGGAGGGTCGCTTGAGGCCAGGAGTTCAAGACCAGCCTGGCCAACACAGAGACCCTGTCTCTGTTGTATTTATTTAATTATTTTTGAGATAGGGTCTCATTTTGTCACCTAGGTTAGAGTGCAGTGGTGCGATCCTGGCTCACTGCAGCCTCAACCTCCTGGGCTCAAGCAATCCTTCCACCTCAGGAGTAGCTGGGACTACAGGTGCACACCACCATGCCCAGATAATTTTTCTATCTTTTGTAGAGATGAGGTCTTGCCATGTTGCTCAGGCTGGTATCGAACTCCTGGGTTCAAGAGATTTACCCAACTCAAGCTCCCAAAGTGCTGGGATTACAGGTGTGAGCCACAGTGTTTAGGACCCACTCGGATAATCCAGGACAATCTCTCTATCTCAAGATCTTTAATGACATCCAAAAAAAAAAATACTGTTTTCCCATACAAGGTAATATTTACAGGTTGCCTGGATTAGGACTTCATGGCTTTATAAGGGCCATTTTCCAGCTGTGCATGGCTTGGTGGGCTTCTCTTGTTTGTAGGAAGCTATGTGACAAGCGCAGTACCTGCAATGAGCTGTGATTGGCTGATGTAGACTGGGGTGGACTCCAGACAGGTGGTGCTCGAAAAGGTACAAACTCACTCTGCGGTCATCAACTCACCTTTCAGGGTGCCTCTGAGGGGTGAGGCCTGTGGAGTGAGGTCCAAGCATGCCAGATTTTGTCCACTGAGCCAGGCTCCTGGAGGCCCTGACAGATGCAGCTCCAGGCCCCAGGCTGCACAATTTGCCCCATGCTTCCACAGCCTCTGGATTTAGGATAACCGAGGCCAGCGTCTGGGACCCCAGTGCTCCAGTGAGGGTCAAGGAAGCCCGGAGCTTACTCCAACCTCTGCCCCTCCAGGGCAGAGAGGACGGAAGATCCCAAAGGCCCCAAGGCTCGGGGAAGGGCGCGGCTGAGCAGGAGCAGCTGCTTTTCTCTCCCAGGCTTCCTGCTGTGCCTTTTACTACCCTCTACCTTCCTGGTGCTGGGGCTCCGAAGGGCTGGCTCTAAAGAAGTCCCAACGCCAGCCTGGGGGCGCAAGGAGGGAGCAGCCTGTTTCGATTGTCGATTGTCGGAGACTTGCTCCTAGTTAGGTGGTAACTGTCCTTATGATCCCCCACAAAACCAGCCAGGCAGGGGGCAGAGAGCCAGGCTCGTGGAGACGAGGCCGCTGGTGGAGGGGAAGCAACCCTGAGCGTGGACCCCTCAACCTTGTCCCTTACCCGTGCACCCCTCGCCTCACACCCTCGCGGCCCTCATCCACGCGTCCCTCACCCTACACCCACCCACCCGTCACTCGTTCGCCCCTCACCCCTCACCCGCGCGCCCCTCACCCCTCACCCCCCACCCCTCACCCGCGCACCCCTCACCCGTGCGCCCCTCACCCCTCACCCTCGCACCCCTCACCCCCCACCCCTCACCCATGCGCCCCTCACCCCCCACCCCTCACCCGTGCGCCCCTCACCCCTCACCCTCGCACCCCTCACCCCTCACCCGCGCGCCCCTCACCCCTCACCCCCCACCCCTCACCCGCGCACCCCTCACCCCTCACCCTCGCACCCCTCACCCCCCACCCCTCACCCGTGCGCCCCTCACCCCCCACCCCTCACCCGTGCGCCCCTCACCCCTCACCCTCGCACCCCTCACCCCTCACCCGTACGCCCCTCACCCCTCACCCCTCACCCCCCACCCCTCACCCGCGCGCCCTCACCCCTGACCCGCGCCCCCTCACCCCTCACCCGCGCGCCCTCACCCCTGACTCGCGCCCCCTCACCCCTCACCCGCGCCCCCTCAACTCTCACCCGCGCCCCCTCACCCCTCACCCGCGCCCCCTCACCCCTCACCCGCGCGCCCTCACCCCTGACTCGCGCCCCCTCACCCCTCACCCGCGCCCCCTCAACCCTCACCCGCGCGCCCTCACCCCTCACCCGCGCCCCCTCACCCCTCACCCGCGCCCCCTCACCCCTCACCCGCGCCCCCTCACCCCTCACCCGCGCGCCCTCACCCCTCACCCGCGCGCCCTCACCCCTCACCCGCGCGCCCCCACCCCTCACCCGCGCGCCCCCACCCCTCACCCGCGCGCCCTCACCCCTCACCCGCGCCCCCTCACCCGCGCCCCCTCAACCCTCACCCGCGCGCCCTCACCCGCGCGCCCCCACCCCTCACCCGCGCCCCCCCACCCCTCACCCGCGCGCCCCCACCCCTCACCCGCGCCCCCCCACCCCTCACCCGCGCGCCCCCACCCCTCACCCGCGCCCCCCCACCCCTCACCCGCGCGCCCCCACCCCTCACCCGCGCCCCCCCACCCCTCACCCGCGCGCCCTCACCCCTCACCCGCGCCCCCACCCCTCACCCGCGCGCCCTCACCCCTCACCCGCGCCCCTCACCCCTCACCCGCGCGCCCTCACCCTCACCCGCGCGCCCTCACCCCTCACCCGCGCGCCCCCACCCCTCACCCGCGCGCCCCCACCCCTCACCCGCGCGCCCCCACCCCTCACCCGCGCCCCCTCACCCGCGCCCCTCAACCCTCACCCGCGGCCCTCACCCGCGCGCCCCCACCCCTCACCCGCGCGCCCCCACCCCTCACCCGCGCCCTCACCCTCACCCGCCCCCCCAACCCTCACCCGCGCGCCCCCACCCTCACCCGCGCCCCTCACCCTCACCCGCGCCCCCTCACCCCTCACCCGCGCCCCTCACCCCTCACCCTCGCACCCCTCAACCCTCACCCCTCACCCGCGCGCCCTCACCCCTGACCCGCGCGCCCTCACCCCTGACCCGCGCGCCCTCACCCCTCACCCGCGCGCCCTCACCCCTCACCCGCGCGCCCCTCATCCACGCGCCCCTCGCCCTTCAGTCCTCACCCGCGCGGGCCAAGAGGGTCCCGGGCGAGGGCAGCTCCCTGCGGGTGGGTGCGGGGCTCCGAGTGGGCTCGGCCTGCGAGGCCGGCAGCAGGGCCCAGGCTCCACACACGCCTGGCCTCGGAGTCTGTCTTGAGGCTCAGGAGCTGCCTTTTCTGCAAATAGGCGCCCAACGGTTCAGCCCTAAGAACTGCACGGGGATGGGGGGAGGTCGCCCCGCGTGTCTTCAGCGACAGCGACCATGGCCACAACCACGATGATGACAACGGCCACGGTGACGGCCGCGCGTCCAGCCGGCCCCCCGGTGACGGCCCCGAAGCATCTGCTCGCGGGGCGCTTGCATTGGAGCGGAGATCCGCGCGGGGCGCTACGTTTCCCGAGACCCTGGCCGCCCCCGGGCGCTGCAAACTCCCGCCGGGTGCCCGGGTCTCCTGGGTCAGGACGGAGCTGGACGAGACTCTTTCCCGGGCGCCCGCGTTCAGGACACGCACGATGGGAACGTCCGGACCCTGCCGCCCCCGCCCTCCGGGACCACGCCCTCCGCTAGGATGGCCGCGCGCGGGGACGGCTGGAGACTGGTTCACGCTGGAGACGGGTTCATGTGGGCGCCAGGCCTGAGGGACCGGCCCCGCCCGGCTGGTATTTCCCGACCGGGCGGGAGAAGCCACGGTCCCCCGCCGCCCCGACAGCCCCGGGTCCCGGCCCCGCCTCGGCCAACCCTACCCCGCGCGCTCTAGGACCCGGCGGCGCCGCCCAACAGCTCCGGCGTGGGCGGGGCCCGGCATTGTGACGCCGCGGGGCGGGGTTTCCCGGCGCCGGAGCGGACGAACGCTGAGACGCGCGCGGTTAAGCGGCGCGGGGACGCGGGGCGCAGGGCGCTGGGCTAGGGGCGCAGGTAAGGAACGCGGGGGCGGCGCGGGGTCCTGGCGGGGCGGCCTAGGGCGGCCGAGGACGCGGGGCCAGGGCAGTTGGCCGCTGCCCCCAGTCCCTCGGCTTGGTCCTGTGGGTCACCGGCCCGGCACCCCCTCCCACGAGCCGTGCGCCCCATCCTGGGCCTGCGCCCCCTCCCACGAGCCGTGCGCCCCATCCTGGGCCTGCGCCCCCTCCCACGAGCCGTGCGCCCCATCCTGGGCCTGCGCCCCCTCCCCCGACCCCATCCCGGGACACGCGTGGACTCCCGCCGGCTAAACGCACCCGGGCGGTGACACCAGGGGCTGCGCCCGTCCTCGACCCCGACCCTGGGAACCCTCCCCAGCCCCCGCCGGGTGCGTGTCGGGACCCCCAGACACCCCCGCGCCCCGGTCGCCCACGCTCTGCCTCGGGTCCTGCGGCCGGCGCGGGTCGGGTCGGGTCGGGTCCTTGCGCGCCGGCCCACCCTCCCTGGCGGGACTCCAGCCGCTCCCCGCTCCCCGCAGGCTCCGAGGCCGCAGGAGCGCGCGGAGCGGCGATGAGCAGGCGGCTGGTGGCCCGCGGGGCGCGGAGCTGGTGACAGCCTCGGCCAGGCGGGCGCTGCGATGGAGGCCGAGGGCCTGGACTGGCTTCTGGTGCCACTGCACCAGTTGGTGTCCTGGGGCGCGGCCGCGGCCATGGTCTTCGGAGGGGTGGTGCCCTACGTCCCGCAGTACCGGGACATCCGCAGGACGCAGAACGCCGACGGGTTCTCCACCTACGTGTGCCTGGTGCTGCTGGTAGCCAACATTTTGCGGATACTCTTCTGGTAAGTTGGGGGTTTGCTTTCCTGGGCTGCGCTCGGAGAAGAGGGTTTCTCCTTTGGAGTTTCTGGTTGAGTCCGGGGGAGCAGCAGGTTCCACACCTCCTGGCTGGGCCAGCGTCCTGCTCTGCCGTCGATGGGGTACGTGGCTGCAGGCGAGTCACTTCTTAGGGTGAGATTATTTTTTACAGAAAAACGGTGGGATTGGAGAATAGAATCTCAGAGAAAATCTCCAGATCTGCCTTCTCGCATAATGCCCCGCACGGGTGCTTAGCAGGGACCTCTCTGCTGGGCAATGGTCTAGGCCTGCCCGTAGAGAGGAGCCGTTCCTGCCCACCTTTCTCATGTTGTGTCGTTTTTCTTTATTGTTTTGAGAAAGGGTCTTGCTCTGTGGTCCAGGCTGAAGTGCATGATGTGATGACAGCTTACTGCAGCCTCCACGTTCCTGGGCTTGGGTGATCCTCCCACCTCAGCCTCCCAAGTAGCTGGGACCACAGGTGTACCACCACACCTAGCTAATTGTTTTTTTGTATTTTTTGTAGAGACGGGGGGTTTCACTATGTTGCCCAGGCTGGTCTCGAACTCCTGGCCTCAAGCATTCCTCCCCACTGGGCCTCTGAAAGTGCTGGGATTACAGGCTGAGCCACGGCGCCTGGCCTGCCTTATTTAAATAGGAAGTCACGCTCTCCGGAGACTGTCTTGTTCCTCTCAGGCCAACTTCCTCTTTGTATTTGCGTTAGGCTGAGGAAATTGAAATTAATTTTAACAGTTGTTGAAGCCAGACATAATTGGGAGAATGAGTTTTTGGAGAAAATGAAGAGGTCTCACAGCTGCATTCTAAGGCCAAAAACGTCTGGAATTTTTCTTTCTGCCGGGTGATCCCAGCCTCTCTGTCCATGCAGATTGGAAGGTGTCTGCGGCTCTTCCCATGAAGAGGGCCTGGTGGAGGGGTGGAGAGAAGGAGTCTAGGCAGCTGGTGTCAAGAACTCTGCTTCTGACTCTGGTCACTGAGTAATCACGTACCTGCTTCTTTGCCTGTTAGTTTTTTTTTTTTTTTTTTTTTTGAGACAGAGTCTCACACTCTGTTGTCAGGCTGGAGTGCAGTGGTACAGTCTCGGCTCACTGCAATCTCTGCCTCCTGGGTTCAAGTGATTCTCCTGCCTCAGCCTCCTGAGTAGCTGGGACTACAGGCTCCCGCTGCTGTACCCAGGTAATTTTTGTATTTTTAGTAGATACGATGGTCACCATGTTGACCAGGATGGTCTCGATCTCTTGACCTCGTGATCCACCCACCTCGACCTCCCAAAGTGTTGGGATTACAAGCGTGAGCCACCAAGCCTGGCCCGCCTGTTTTTAAGTCAACCTTGTTGAGGTGTGATTTGCATTCCATGAAATGCACCCCTTTCGTGTCCATTTGATGAGTTCTGATGCTGGGGTGTCCCCTGTGTTCATGAACTGGGGTGCTCCCTGCTCCACAGCCTTCATCCCAGCCCTGGCCGTGGGCAGCCGTTGGTCCACGTGTCCCTGGGTGTTAGTTTTGCCTTTGCCGGGGATTTTTAGGTGAGCGAGTGGGTTGGCTGCCTCTTCCCCAGAGTTGTCTCTGAGGCAGGGAGGTTTGTCCCCTGCAGCGATCTCGGAGGGGGATTTTGGGTCCGAGTCGTGTCTCAAGGTTTGTCTCTGGGCCGGGCTGCATCTGAGGGAGGGTCAGGGGGCTCATTTTGGAGACTGCTTCATTCTTTCCCATCGCCTGCTGTGGAGACAGTGGCTGGCGGTGCCGCAGTGGCCTCAGTGAACATAAGGTTGACTGGGAAGTAGGTTTCTAATTGTCTAATGCTGTTGAATATTTTGAGTGCACGTTGTGGGAGTTGGGGAGATGCTGGTTGGCAGGCCACCTGCTACAGCCCCAGCTCACATGTGTATGTGGTGAAGGAGCATTTTTAGGGTTATAGAATAAATTTTAGGGTTATAGAATAAATTTAGGGTTATAGAATAACGTTTAGGGTTATAGAATAAATTTTCTCCAAAATAATGGAGGAAAATTGCCTGAGGGTGGATAACCATATGGGGAAAAAGTTCTACTTAGAGGATCCCCCACACCCCCGGTATGCTCATAGTCCCAAGTTGCTAAAAGAAAATAAATTAGGTTGGGCACGGTGGCCCACTCCTGTAATTCCAGCACTTTCAGAGGTCAGGGTGGGAGGATCACTTGAGGCCAGGAGTTCAAGACCAGCCAGCGCAACATAGCAAGACCCCATCTCTACAAAACATTTGCAACATTAGCTTAGGTGTGGTGGCATTACCTGTAGTCCTAGCTACTTGGGAGGCTGTGACAGGAGGATCACTTAAGCCCAGGAATTCGAGGCTGCCGTGAGCTGTACTCCAGTCTGACCAAAGAGAGAGACCCTGTCTCAAAAAAAGAAAGAAAAGAATCTAATGTCCATCTCAGTATCTGGTTTGGAGAAGTCAGAGATTAACCCAGTTTCCTGGTGCCATCTTGTCGCTGCCTCATGACCTAACTGGCACTTGACGTAGAGGTTTGAAGCTGGGGTGGGAGTTCTTGCTTACAGGCCTTCGAGAGACACTTGAGCTCTTGGTGGAGCACAGGGCAGCCTTCCAGGGAATTCTGAACTTTGTCCATGGGTCTCTTCATAGAATCAATATCCTGGGCTGTCGTGGTCATGCATGGCTTGTGTGACCACCGAGTGCACACACAGGGCCCCAGCGTGTTCCAGAAGATGGTGGGGCTGTCGTGGTCATGCATGGCTTGTGTGACCACCGAGTGCACACACAGGGCCCCAGCGTGTTCCAGAAGACGGTGGGGCTGTCGTGGTCATGCATGGCTTGTGTGACCACCGAGTGCACACACAGGGCCCCAGCGTGTTCCAGAAGACGGTGGGGCGGTCGTGGTCATGCATGGCTTGTGTGACCACCGAGTGCACACACAGGGCCCCAGGGTGTTCCAGAAGACGGTGGGATGAAAGCGGGGAGAGCAGAGGGTGCTGGTCCCTGCTGGGCGTCCCTCCAGCCTGAGAATGTGCCTTCTCTGCACTCCACACAGGCACATCCTCTGTGCCCACCCAGTCCCCAGGTCCTGCTGTGCAGAGGGGGATGATGACCCCTTCTGTTTCTCTCTCGGGAGCCTCTTGTGACCCCCACTCCTGGCTTCCCCTCTCCAGGCTTTGTAGGTTCACAGCCTCTTTGATTTCATGGTTTGTAGGGCAGAGGGTTTGTGCTTTAGCGGAAGTGACACGCGGGATGCATCACACACAACTCCAGCTCCACACATGCGCACGCACACTCAGTGTTTGGGATGGGAGTGGTGGGGGCGGGAAAGCAGAGGTGGGGCTGGGCCACGCTCCGGTGAGAGGGGGACGGGGTGGGGGGTGGGGAGAGCAGAGGTGGGGCTGGGCCATGCTCCGGTGAGAGGGGGACAGGGTGGGGGGTTGGGAGAGCAGAGGTGGGGCTGGGCTGGGCTCCGGTGAGAGGGGGACGGGGTGGGGGGTGGAGAGAGCAGAGGTGGGGCTGGGCCGGGCTCTGGTGAGAAGGGGTCTGGGGGAGAACAGAGGTGGGGCTAGGGCAGGCTCTGATGAGAAGGGTCTGGGGGTCCAGTGAGAAGGGGCCAGGCTCTGGTGAGAAGGGGCCGGGGTCCTGTGAGAAGAGGCTGGGGTCCTCCAGCACAGGGGTGGAGTTAGAATCTTCACGCTTCCAAAGGTGCTGGGGCATGGTCCTCAGAGCTCCAGTCCCTCTGGGCAGCCCCCCATTGGGGATTTGGGGTACATGGCATATGGGGCTCTGCAGTCCTGCAGGGGCTGCTTTAACAGTACAAACGCAGGGATTCTGAAACATAGGTCACTTATGTTTTTGTTTGTTATAGTCGTTACTACCATTTTGTGAAACCAGCATTCAGCAGATGACACTCTGCGTAATGCCAGTGTGCAGGGTTTGGCAGGTTGGTGCCAGCAGCCAGGAGAAGGGCTAAATGATGCCTCATAGCTGGTGTTTGCTGGCTGTGAGTACATGGAGGAAAAGCGGAGAGGCCAGGCGGGGATCAGGCCACACTGGGCTGCAGGGCCCTGGGAGCCTCAGCTCCATCCACAGTAGGACCCAGGCTGGAGCACTCTGAGATGGAGGAATGAAAACATTGTATCAGAGAGGTCATAACATTTTGTTACTGAGGGTGATAGCTTTAGTGGTGCCTAAGAGAAGACACAAAGCTACAAAGCTGCTCTTTTGCTGGATTTTTTTTTTTTTTTTTAAGACCAGAGTCTCGCCCTGTTGCCCAGGCTGGAGTGCAGTGGCACAATCTCGGCTCACTGCAACCTCTGCCTCTGGCACGATCTTGGCTCACTGCAAACTCTGCCTCCTGGGTTCAAGCAGTTCCCTGCCTCAGCCTCCCGAGTAGCTGGGATTACAGGTACCGGCTGCCACGCCTGGCTAATTTTTGTATTTTTAGTAGAGACGGGGTTTCACCATATTGACCAGGCTGGTCTTGAACTCCTGACCTCATGATCCACCTGCCTCAGCCTCCCAAAGTGCTGGGATTACAGGTGTGAGCCACCGTGCCTGGCCCTGCTTGAGTTTTTCTGTGAGATTTTGGAACATAGAGAAGTTTTTCTGTGGGCTTGGTCAGTTATGGTGCACCCTCTATACTGTCTCTTCCTGTGGGTGGGCACCTGGGCATGGTCACCTGCAGAGCCCACCTTAGACGAGGTATCTTGGTGCCTCCCGAGGAGCAGGCTCCTGCACCACACAGGTGGGCTGCCTGGCACCTGCCGTGAGAAGAGGCGCGGGAGTTATGCCCTCGGGCAGGAGAGGAAAAGTGCTCTCCTGAGTTCGTGGCCAGCATGGACTGTTATCACTAAGGGAAGAAAAAGTTAAGTTGAGAAGTAAATGTGGCATCTATTTTAATTAGCTTTTAAAATTACTAATGCTGCTGGATTTTGTTTCGTTTTGTTTTTGTTCCTTCTGTGGAACACTGTGCTTTTTGAAATTTTGTGTTTTTCTTTGTCTTCACCTTATTAGTTCACTGTTCACCTCCGGGTACCCTCTCACTTGGTTTTAAAAGTCCTTATTCTTTACTGTGCATATCGAGTTCCTCTAGATTTGATTTTTGATGTGTGGATTATGGGGAAGCTCAAACCTTGATTCGCTCGCCTCCTGCTTTGTCTGTCTGTTCATTCATTGCGTCTGTTGAACATTTAAAAAACGCAGGTGGCCTTTCATGCAGAGTGGCCAAAATGGCTCACGTGCAGCCTCATTGCTGGAGGTGAACGTGGTGTGCAGCAGCCTCCATGTGTCCCAGGGCACTGGCCTATTTTAGATGCCTGCCCAGTGTCACCTCCTCAGCCTCAGGTCGCTGTGGGTGAGTTGACCGGCACCCAGGCCGCTTGGTAGCCAGTGCAGAACGGCCCTGGAAGTGACTGTGAGCTTGGCTGTATCCTCCAGCCTTGGGGGTTGCGATCTGTGCTGTATAATATACCGTAACAGTGCAGAGGCCAAGGCCTGGAGGGGGCCGGCGTGGGGGCTGGAGCCAGCCTGTGGGCAGAGTGCCCATGCGCCCTGCACTCCTGCTCATACGGCGTCCCTGCTCCCCCGACCTGTGCCTCAGGCCCAGAAAACCCCCTTTCAAGCTGCCTGTTTCCCTCTGGCCATGCTCTGTCCCCGGCCCACCCCCTCCCTTCCTCCCTTTGCCTCCTTGTCTCGCCTTGTGCGTCTCTTGGAGGCTTCCTAGGGAAGCATCCAGTGAGGCAGGGGGACCGTGGTGGCCCCCGCTGACCTGGAGGTACAGCTTGTCTGCCTGCCCGCCTGGCCCCCTGTCCACCCTGGGCCTGGGCTGCTGTGTTCTCTACCCTTCCCTCTGCTCCCCGAGTCTCTGTGACCTCAGGCAGCCTCTCCCTCTGCTGAGGAGCTCCCAGGAGACAGGGAAGGGCCTTGGTCTCTGGAGCCAGCACAGAGGGAAGCAGCATGGCCACCCTCTGAGGACTGCATCCTGGCTCCCTGTCCTCCCAGGAGAACGTCTGTGGCTTTTTCCAGGTTGCTGTGGGAGCCTCACCTGCAAGTGGCACCTTCTCACCTGCTGGGCTGGTTCACCTGCTAAGGGGGCTGCGGGGTTCCCCCTACTCCTGTTGTGTGTTAATAAGGGGGTGCTAAAGGGGCTCTGGGGTTCCCCCTTCTGCTTTGTGTTGGTAAGGGGATGTTAAGAGGGCTGCCCAGCTGCGTGAGAGCTAGAGAGAGGTGGGGGCTGTGGTGGTTGTTGCTGAGTCTTCCAGTTTTTCAGAAGTTGGGAAATTAGGCTGTTATGTAGGATCTCCTGACTTTGACATGGTGGCGGCCAATTCAAGTATTAAAATTCCCTTCAGTCCAAACTGCAGGCTGATTGAGATTCCCGCCCTGGGACAGTCAGGGAGGGTCAGGGCTGGGTCTTTCCATGAGTACGTGCCACACACAGCCCAGCCTTGGAGATGGTGGCTCTGCAGGCCCGTGTCCCAGCTCTGTGGTGACTCTGGGAGATGGGGAGACCGTAGGGCCTGCCAGTCATTGGCCTGTGGTTCTGCCCTGCAGAGGCTCATGGCTGAGCTGATGAGATGCTCAACCCTGGTCAAAAGTCAGCAAGGTGGCCTGGGAGCTTGCAGCTAGGGGAGCACGGGGCCAGGGAGGCCTGGGGGCGGGGGTGGTACAGACCCTTGGCTGCCTTCTTCTCTCCTGTGGGAGTGTGTGTGCATGTGGAAATTCCGTGTCTGGCCCAGCTGCTGCTCTGCACACTGACCCAGCCTTCCACAGGCAGGAAGCAGGGCTGCTGTGAGCTAGAAACTGGGCTTCTTGCCTGGTGGCAGCCCGGAGGCTGTAGGGAGGGCCTGGGGCACCTGAGCTGAGCTGTGGGAGGGGGACTCAGGACCACCAGACCCAGGTACCAGTGCCTGGGCCACTGGTTCTGGGGAGGGCCAGATGTGCTGAGGGGTCCCGAGTCAGGCTGTCTGTGGGTCTTATGGCCCCTCACTGGAGCCCCACCCCACCTGGAGTCTGGGAGATGGGCAGCAGTTGCCTGGTCACTCTGGTGTTCACCAACCAGGCTCCTTCCCCGGGATGCCGCTTGGGGCCTGGGAGAGGTAGAGTGGATGGTCCTCCCTCCTGACCCGGGTCTGTCCCGCTGCAGGTTCGGGACTGGGAGAGGCAGCATGGATGGGTCTGCCTCCTGACACAGGGTCTTTCCTGCTGCAGGTTCGGGACCAGGAGAGGCAGCGTGGGTGGGCCTCCCTCCTGACCCAGGTCTTTCCTGCTGCAGGTTCGGGACCAGGAGAGGCAGCGTGGGTGGGCCTCCCTCCTGACCCAGGTGTCTCCCGCTGCAGGTTCGGGACAGGGAGAGGTGGCGTGGGTGGGCCTGACACAGGGTCTCTCCTGCTGCAGGTTCAGGACTGGGAGGGGCAGCGTGGGTGGGCCTCCCTCCTGACATGGGTCTCCCGCTGCGAGTTCGGGACTGGGAGAGGTGGCATGGGTGGGCCCTCTCCTGACACAGCGTCTCTACCGCAGGTTTGGAAGGCGCTTTGAGTCCCCACTGCTGTGGCAGAGCGCCATCATGATCCTGACCATGCTGCTGATGCTGAAACTGTGCACCGAGGTCCGTGTGGCCAACGAGCTCAACGCCAGGCGCCGCTCCTTTGCAGGTTGGTGGCCGGCGCTTTGGAATAAAGTCCCAGGGAATCAGGGCGAAGGTGACTCTGGTGAAACAAAAGCCACTCTAATCTGTCCTGATCCAGGCAGCTTTCATTTCGCCAAGTGGTGCTGTTATCTTCAACTGATAGTGTTTTCAGTGTGTTAAATGACTTTAGTTAAACAGTTTATAACTCGAAACAATTCAAGGTAATGATTTCTTCACTGGAAGTTGGGTGAGGCCTTAACAGCTTCACAGTTCTTGGAGCGCCGTCCCAGACGGTTTGTGTGTCCGAACAAGAAGTGCCCGTCTGTGCCTGGCTGCATCGGGTCAGACGGTGCCGGGTCAGGCGTTTTGTCTCTGTGTGCGTGGCCTGTACACAAAACACACCTTTTCAGTTTGGCTGTGACTCACGGGCTGCCTCAGCCAGGGCCTTTCTCACAGACCTTGTTAAACAGACCCAGAGGGTCAGGCAACCCCTTTATCCGGAGCACACGGGCAGGGTACGCACACTGCCGAGTTGACAGCCGGGCACGACCAATTACATGCTTAGCACATGCTTAGCACATGCTTAGCACACATGACTCCTTAACCTTTGGTGGCTTAGAAAATAGAAAAGACTTCTTCCAGTGTTTGCCTTTTGCACAGTTTGTTCAGTCTGAACCCTCTTTGCACATGCAGGCTGGCAGGCTTCTTGTGTGCAGGAGGGTTAAATCCTTCCTTTTGTTTTTCTTCTAATTTCTCAGTCGAAGATGGCGCTCCCTTTGGCTTTGAGAGAGGTTGATCTCAGCTGTCTCTTGGAGAAAAGTGTTTCCCTCAGAGTTTGTTTAGTTTGGGGCTTCTGTGGATTTGAGATCTTGCCGGGGAGTTGTGTCCCTGTTTCTATTCCCGATCGCTGGTTCTTCCTGTTGGAGGGGATCCCACCTCTCCCTTTTTGTCTGCTCCTGTTTCTAGACTGAGGTGAAATGTGTGCTGCTTTCAGCCTCTGTAGAAACCCGACCAGCCTCCCGCCAGCGTGACCTGGGCCAGGTAGTGTCATTGTGGCCACGAGATGAGCACCAGTGTCTTTTTTTTGTTCTGTTCTTTCTTCCCATTCCCACTGTTCTCCTCTCCTCTGAGTCTCTGCTCTGTTCCCTCCTATTGTGATTTGGGTTTGAAATTACACCAGAGATGGTGCTGACGATATCACAGATCTTGCCTAGAAAGCAGGCTTTTTTTTTTTTTTGAGATGGAGTCTTTGCTCTATTGCCCAGGCTGGAGTGAGTGGCGCGATCTCAGCTCACTGCAAGCTCCGCCTCCCGGGTTCACGCCATTCTCCTGCCTCAGCCTCCCGAGTAGCTGGGACTACAGGTGCCCGCCACCATGTCCGGCTAATTTTTTGTATTTTTAGTAGAGACGGGGTTTCACCGTGTTAGCCAGGATGGTCTCGATCTCCTGACCTCGTGATCTGCCCGCCTCGGCCTCACAAAGTGCTGGGATTATAGGCGTGAGCCACCGCGCCCGGCGGGAAGCAGGCTTTTAAGAACCGGCCAGATTCCCTGCGAGGTGAGGAACTGTGGTTTTACATTTCGGTTTAGGTGACTCGGTCTTGCTCTCTGCAAGGCTTTGGTCCTTCTCTGGAGCTGAGCTCCTCATGGCGTGTTCCCTGCCCCTTTGAACCTCGGTATTTAACTTGGAACAGGAATGTTCTCACTGTGGGAGGGCCAGCCAGCCGAGAGAACAGTTTGTGCCTAAGATGCCCAATGCATTGCTGGATGTTCCTGCTGCCCTCGGGCTCTGGACATGAGGCCAGACCTTGTGACCTTGTTGAAGGTGGCCTGACACGAGGTCCCAGAGACGGCAGGTTGTGAGTGTCTAGGCAGTGCAGCCAGCAGGGAGTTTAATGTGAATGTATGTTGGAACACTGGGACACCCCTAGAAGCGGCATCGTAAGCTCCCCACCCACATTCATTTTACCAGCAGGTGCGCTCTCGTCTCATCAGAGGAGCGTTGGATAAGAAGGGAGTGGGATGGTGGATGCCTGGCATTCTGTGTCACTTCTTCCAAAGGAGTACTTCTCTTCTGGTTACCCAGGATGAGTTAAAAACGTGAGTCCCTGTTTCCAGAGCTAGGCCTGGAATCCGAATTTTAAACACCCTCTGTGGGTGGGCAGAATAATGGCCCCGAGAGAAATCCATGCCCTGATCCTGGGAACCTATGACGTGCTACTGTACATGGCGGAGAGACTCTTGAGGGGGGCTGGTCCTGGATTATCTGGTGGCCTCACCTAATTCCAGGGGTCCTCAGACATGACAAGGGCCGCAGACAAGATGGTCAGGTGCTGGAGCTGAGGGCCCGGCTCTCTGCCGTGGGTCGGCCGTCGCTTTACAGGCAGCAGAGCCCCCAACCACAGGGAGCGGAGTTCTGCCCATACTTGAATGAGTAGGAGACACAGCCTTGGTTTTAGTCTAGGAGACCATTGGGCCTCTGGCCTCCAGAATTAAGATAATCAGCCTGCGTTGTGGCTGCCACTTTTGTGGTACCTTGTTACAGAGGCGATAGGAAGCTGGGGCACCCTTTCCTCAAGGCCTGGAGTATTTGGGAAGCAGTCCAGGGCTGCTGTGAGGGGATGAGGGCTGGGCTCCTGGGGTCAGCCTGGGTGCCCCGTGCCTGCCCTCCCCTTGGGGAAGACTGAGAACCAAGCTGCATGACTCCTGGGCCCCAAATGACTTCAGGTGGGAAGTCCACTCCTGAACTCTGTGTCCTGGGGTGTAGCTGTGTGTGGTTAAGAATTCTTGAGATTTACATCTGCAGCACTCTTAATATTGGAGTCCAGTTTGAGTTTATGCACGTCCATGTCCCCGTGGTGGACAGGCCCAGACCTGTTCCTACAGGGCGCCTTGATGGAAGGTGTGAGCTCATGTCCTCTCATCTGCCAGGAGAGGCAAGGGCAAGGCAGGAACATCGCTGAAGTTCAGACTGAAAGCTCTGGCTTCTGGCCACCCGATCTGTAGCTCCTGCAGCACGGCCCCGTGCTAGGCAAGGTGGCCAGCCTCGTCTTCCTGTCAGCAGCGTCACCTCGAAGGGAAGGTTGTTGGCTCTGAACATGTTCTGTTTTTCTTTCTTTTTTTTTTTTTTTTTTTTTTTTTTGAGACGGAGTTTCGCTCTGTCGCCCAGGCTGGAGTGCAGTGGCCGGATCTCAGCTCACTGCAAGCTCCGCCTCCCGGGTTCACACCATTCTCCTGCCTCAGCCTCCCGAGTAGCTGGGACTACAGGTGCCCGCCACCTCGCCCGGCTAATTTTTTGTATTTTTTAGTAGAGATGGGGTTTCACCGTGTTAGCCAGGATGGTCTCAATCTCCTGACCTCGTGATCCGCCCATCTCGGCCTCCCAAAGTGCTGGGATTACAGGCTTGAGCCACCGTGCCCGGCCTCTTTCTTTCTTTTTTTTTTTTTTTCAAGCTTTTAAGTTCAGGGGTACATGTGCAGGTTTCTTATATAGATAAATTGCTTGTCACGGGGGTTTGGTGTACAGATTATTTCCCTAACTCCTGAACTCCTGACCTCAAGTGGGATCCACCCACCCTGGCCTCCCAAAATGCTGGCGTTACAGGCGTGAGCCACCGCACCCGGCCAGTGTACAGATGATTTCATCACCCAGGTATTAAGCCTAGTACCCATTGGTTATTTTTCCTGGTCCTCTCCCTCCTCCTGCTCTCCACGCTCCGACAGGCCCTAGTGGCTGCTGTTCCCCTCTACGTGTCCATGTGTCCTCATCATTTAGCTCCCACTTACATGTGAGAACGTGCGGCATTTGGTTTTCTGTTCCCGTGTTAGTTTGCTAAGGATGATGACCTGCAGCTCCATCCATGTTCCTCTAAAGGACATGATCTTGTTCTTTTTTGTGGCTGCGTAGTATTCCGTGGTGTACATGTACCACGTTTTCTTCATCCAGAAGAAAGTCTAGATGATTTTCATTGATGGGCATTTAGGTTAATTCCAAGTCTTTGCTAGTGTGAATGGTGCTGCAGTGAACATACATGTGCGTGTGTCTATAATAGAATGATTTATATTCCTGGGGTTTATACCCAGTAACGGGATTGTTGGGTTGAATGGTATTTCTGGTCTTTGAGGAATCACCACACCGTCTTCTGCAATGGTCGAACTGATCTACACTCCCACCAACAGTATATACTGTTCCTTTTTCTTCACAACCTCACCAGCATCTGTTATTTTTTTTGACTTTTTATTAACAGCCATTCTGACTGGTGTGAGATGGCATCTCATTGTGGTTTTGATTTGTATTTCTCTAACGATCAGTGACGTTGAGCTTTTTTTCATATGCTTTTTAGCCACATGTATGTCTTCTTTTGAAAAGTGTTCATGTCCTTTGCCCACTTTTTAATGGGTTATTCGTGTTTTTCTTGTAAACTTAAGTTCTTTATAGTTGCTGGATATTAGACCTTTGTCAGATGCGTAGTTTGCAAAAATTTTCTCCCATCTGTAGGTTGTCTGTTTGCTCTGTTGATAGTTTCTTTTGCTATGCAGAAGCTCTTTAGTTTAATTAGATCCCATTTGTCAATTACTGCTTTTGCCAAGCACATTCTTGAGCCTCACCCTAAGGGTGAGGACATGCCAAGGGGGACCATGGGCCTTGGGAGGCACAATTCTTGGCAGACTGATGAGGACGTGAAAATAACTTATGAGGAAACATTTGAATCACTACATTTCACTGTGCTCGTGGATAGTCAGATGACCTAAGGAAATAAAAGTGTAAATGTTTTCCAGCTATCTTTTATAGGGATTTTAAGTTTTGAAGGTCACAAATTCAGTGTGAAAGTTAATATAAAAGAAACATAAATGGTATTGAGAAAGAGTAGATTACTTAAACAATTAAATGCATTATTTGTTGTCTGATTATAAAGAACAGTGCATGCTCATGGTAGACATTTGGGGAAGACAGATATAAAGTAAAACAACTTCTGGCCAGGCACGGTGGCTCATGCCTGTAATCCCTGCACTTTGGGAGGCCAAG